TCCTGCTCGATTTATTTATTTCCTCCTGGGCAAGAGGAAGAGAGAGATACAGAGAGTCACTATCTCCAATAGGTCCTTGACACCATGACCCACCTCTGGATCAAGTGCACATGCATGCAGGCCTATTCGGAGAAGTTTCCAGATGTAAATCTCATCCTTTCAATGTGGGTCAGCCTGGAAGAGTATCTCATTTTACCACAACATTCCATCCGGCACTGTCTATGCTCTTTGGATTTGAACTCCACTGTCACAGCTTTAGAAAGACCCACCCAACTATACAATCTAAGAAACACTGCCTTGTCATAACAATCAATATTTACCTTAATACTCTTTTTACACTTCTTCAAATTGCTTATCACTACCTAATATTTTGTTAATTTTTCTCTCCCTTTATTAATTATCTTTCCTTTTCCACTGGCATGGAAGTGCTTTCTTTCTTTAGTTAGTCGAGATAGCCCAACAACTAGTTAGCTTAGATGCCTGGCGTATAGAACACCTTTAATTACTACTCATAGAATAAATGAATGAATCTTATCTACTCCAGTGATTTAAACCAGTACCTCTGCATAGATAATCTAAGAAAACTAGCTCAACTCTCTCTTCCTAACAGCTGGTTGGCATTTCTACTACCTGTCTTTCACATACCTCCAACTGAGCAATTTAAGAGAAGCTCTAATTCAGCATAATAAAATCATCTTCTTTTCCAGATGTGTACTCCTCCTGACCATCCTTATTTCTGGTGGTGACATTGCCATTCTCTCACTTACCCAGCCTCAATATTTTTCCTCTCTGGTTTGAACACTTCAAATAGTTTACTAACCTTTACTCTTTCATCTGTTTATTCCTTTTTTATTTTAGTATATGGTCTCACTCTACCTAGTTTAGGCTCTGCCTTTATCTACATCAACGTAATAGTTTCCTAACTGAACTTCCTGCCCCTAACTAGAAATTCATTTCACTTGTTGAGTCTAAACCAAATCTATCAAAGTGCATTTCCAGTGTCTCATGCTAATGAATTCTGTGAACATGTTCCTGACCAGCAACATTTTCTCAATGTTCTATAGTCCTTTTCCAGTACCTCTCTCGTGACCTATTCCAATTTTACCTGGACTATGATTGCTTCTATGTTACTGACATCAAAGGAGTTAATAAGTTTCCAAATATCTGAGCTTTTACTGTTTCCTTTGTTTTTGGCCTTCTTATTAATTTAACTATGGCAAAGGGGGACTCCTGCATCTTTGGGTGCCTCCTACGGTGACCTGTAATGAGTAGGCAGGATGTCTCACATTCCCATGTCGTACCTGCTCCTGCTGCTGTTTGGCCAGCTCCATTTGTTGGCGTTGTTTCTCAATCTGAGATGCAGCCAGTTTCTTCTGCTCATCATGGGCAGCGAGTAGCTGCTCTCGCAGACTGGTCAGCTGATTGATCATACCCATGAGTTGCCTTTCCTTCTCAGCTAAGCTCTCAGGAGTCCCTGCAAATAATACGGCAATAAAACATACAAAAAAAAAAAAAAAAACCATGAGGAGAGAGTGGCATTTCAATGACAATGACTGTTATGTTGAGAACTAGTCCAGCTATAATATAAGGTACAACACATACGGAAACATACACCTACCTTCTTTTAGAATTTCATTCAACAGTAAAAAGTGATAGCTATTTACCTATTACAAAATGCCAGAAGAAAATATCTTGAATTTTTTTAATGACAATAATCTAAAATTTCTTTTTTGTTTCCCTTCTATTTTACAAGTAAATCAAATGTTTGTTGATGGCTGAGCATCTACTACTTTTAGTTTTCCTTGCCAGGTACTACTGGAAATAAAATAGATGCTTAAAGCAAATTTGTTTATTTATTTTTTTTTAGAGGGAGATTTCTGCTATAAAGCACATGCACTTGCCAGAGAGACAGAGAAAGACAGAAAGACAAAGAGTGAGACAAAAAGCGAGAATCACACCCCCCCCCCCCCGGGAGAATGTCCACGCTGCAATCTCTTCTCCTCTATTCTCCTCTTGAGATTTTGTCATGCAAACACACACACACACACACACACACACACACACGCCTGGTTTGAGTTTTAAGCCACTAGGTCTGGGGACTCAAACTGCAGTCAACTACGTATGAGTCCAGACATATAACCATTATGCCATCTGCCGGTCCCTAAAGCACAGTTCTTGGCCATTAGTTTTTCATCTAATTAAAAAGCCAAGACAAAATCATGAAATGATTAACCATAATTATTAAGGCATCAAGGCATTATTATTAATGATAGGATTCTCTTTTCCTCAAAAAAACAAAATTGTAAAGATCTAGAACTAAAGGAGTTTACATTAAAAGAGGAGAAAACTATTTAGCCAATCAAGTTTTTACATGGTTTTTCCATATGCTATTCAGAGGCTATCTTTGAAAATAGAAAACAGTTAACAGAGCAAATGATGAAGCTTCAGAGAACATCAGGCTATCATAAAATGATGAAATGTGACTGGCAAACTAGCATTACATAAAAATCACCTAAGATAACATATAAATCCAAGATTTGGAGAAGAGAGGGAAGAGATTTTTAAAAATAGTACAGGGTCAGCTGGTGGTATGGTGGTTAAGACAGTTGGATCCCAAATGGCCTGTTATACAGTTCAAGTCCCAGACCCAGAGGCCTGAAAAGCATGCTGGGCATGTGTGTGTATGTGTGTGTGTGTGTGTGTGTGTGTGTGTGTGTGTGTACACAAAATCTTGAAAGAAGAGAGAACTGGAGGAGAAGGGATCGTAGCATGGCAATCCTCCTGGGAGGGTTCTTTCTCTCCCACTCCCACTCCAGTGAGTACATGTAGCCTATAGCAAAATTTAGATAGATAGATAGATAGATAGATAGATAGATAGATAGATAGATAGATAAAATACTGGGTTGTCAGAAAAGTCATGATGTATTTTTCTATGTAAAAATAAGTATTTTACCTAAGAAGATGCATTGAAATATTTTAAATATGTCATGACTTTTCTGACAACATTATAGTATGCTTGATATATCTAAAATATGTCAATGTGAGACCAGCAGATAGCTTAATGGCTATGTTGCTGGACTCCCATGTAGTTGACTACGGTTGGAGTCCCAGACCTGGTGGCTTAAACTCACGCCAGGCCTATGTGTGTGTATGTGCCCAAGATCCCAAGAAGAGAATGGAGGAGAAGGGATTGCAGTGTGGCCATTCCCCCTGGGGGGTTGATTTCTCACTTTCTGTCTCTCTGTCTCTCTGTCTTTCTGGTGAGTGCACATGCCCTATAACAAAAACCTCTCAAAAATTAAAAAAAAAAAAAGTCCTTAGATAAAATACTTTTTTTTTTTTTTGATACACTGGCAATGTGCACTGTTCACTGAAACAGAAACAACGTCACTTTTAGTTGTTCTTTAAAAACTCACGAGATAGACAAGACCCCTAAGGTAAAGTACTAGCAGTAGGAGAGAACATACTCTTTAATTACAATCTTCACTTCAAACTTAAGACACTAAGCACTATTTTAATAATGCATTTGCCACCTGTATACGTAATTAGATAGAAGGATCTGTTAGAGCTCAGTCACCCTTCCCCACCCCACTACATTTCTCCCTACCAATTTGTGCTGAAAAACCATGTGCTTTTTAAGGAATTCACAGCTATTGTTAGTGACTTATAATTTCCATGTGTACATTTAGAGTGGAAATGAAGTTTCTGATGTATTTTACATGTAGACTAGAGAATTAATATACAGGAAAAAAACTTCCATGTGACTGTAAGGTGAGAACTATTCCTTACGCTAGATCTTATCGTTAATTCCTAGCATTATTCAGGGATGTTGATCCACAAATGATTGCTAATAATTTATTATACTTCAGGTATTTGGATGTCATAAAAACAGAAGAATATTTACTCTAAGAATAATAACTATATGATGTTGTATCCTAGCATTAAATTATCTAAATATATCCTGGAAAGATTTTTAATAAAAATATTCATATGATAGCAAGATGAGCATTTTGCTAAATTGCTAATAGAGAAGTAAACTGCTACCACGCTTTGAGGAATACATGCTAGGAAGAGTAGTAGACCTCACATTTTGGAATGCTTACACTTTCAAGGGCATCCTATTTCTAGAAATCCATCTCAAGAAAATGATAAGAAATGTAGATAAATATTAGTAATTGTTTTAAATAAAGTAACAAATGATCTCTGGAAAAGTTATCAGATTTTCATGTAGTAGAGTATTTTACAATCATGAAAAAATTATTTTGAAGACTATTTAATGATGCAAAATCTTGCTCATGATATAAAGCCAAGTGAGTAAACTGGACAGAAATGAACCATCTGTATACCTATCTACTGCAGACACAAATCTACATTTATAGGAAAAATACTGAAAGCAATTTACCTACATAGGTGAGGTCTTCAAAAAGCTCATGGAAAATTTAAGTAACTATGTATGGATTTAAAATCTTTTTCTTTGCACAAAAACAAATTCATACTTTTTTTTTTTTTTGAGAGGTTTCTTTTGCTATAGGACGCATGCGCTCGCCAGACAAAGAGACAGAAAGCAAGAAATCACCCCCAGAGGGATGGCCACACCACAATCCCTTCTCCTCCATTCTCCTCTTGGGATCTTGGGCACGCGTGCACATGCGCTTCGCACGAGGTTTAAGCCACCAGGTCCAGTACTCGAACCGCAGTCAAACACATGGGAGTCCAGTGACATAGCCATTACGTTAACAGCTGGTCCCACAAATTCATACTTTAATTACACTTTTCCAAGAACTTTCTGAAGAACCCTCATATTAACAGTGGCAATTTCTGTATAGTTGGTAGGATTATAACTCATTTCATCTTTTTCATCCTTTCTATATTTAGCAATTTTTCTACAATAAATATTATTACCATCATGTATATACTTACTAAAAGTGTATTTCATTTAAATATACATTAGTATCATTTAAAACCTTAAGGTGTTATTATCCATTTTCACAACTAATATAATGCCAATAAATAAATAAATATTTGTTGGTATTGGTAATTATCATTTTGGAAGTCAGCATAAAGATTAACAGCATTCTTTTGTCTTCACTTAGTCATAAAAACGCAAATAATATGCATTTCAAATTTAAAACTGAATTCATAATTTTACAGCCCATATTAAATTCAAACATTTTTTTTTTTTTTTTTAGGTTTTCACTATTGGGTGCTGCACTTGCTGGAGAGAGATAGAGGGAGGGAAAGTGAGAAATCACATCCCAGGCTGGGGATGGATAGGCCACAATCCTTTCTTCTAAATTCTCTTGAGATTTTGGAATTTTGGACTGGGCCCAAGATTTTTTTTTTTTTTTTTGGAGAGGTTTTCGCTATAGGGCACATGCACTTGCCAGACAGACAGAGAGAGACAGAGAGACAGAAAGCGAGAAATCACCTCCCAGGGGGGATAGCCATGCCGCAATCCCTTCTCCTCCGTTCTCCTCTAGGGATCTTGGGCATGCATGCACACGCGCCCGGCTTGAGTTTTAAGCCACCCGGTCCAGGACGCGAACCGTGGTCGACTACATGGGAGTCCAGCGACATAGCCATTATGCTAACTGCTGGTCCCTGGGCCCGAGATTTTAACCATAGCTGGTCACATAGGAATCCAGCACCTTAATCACCAAGCCACTTGCTGTCCCCTAATTCAAACTTTTCAACCTTTATCCCACCTTATCCTGAGCCTTCTCACATGACTTCTTGGACACAGCTCCACACTGCTTTAATGCCTGTTCAACTATCTTTTTCTTCTCAATCTTTTTCATTGGTTCCTCTCCTTCTCCCTCCATAAATGCTCTATTCCTCATAGTCCCATTCTTTGCTTTTTTCTAGTCTTAATATCGTTAACGTCCAACTCCTAAACTCTGGATTTGTAATTTCCTTTCTTGAGCTCCATCATCTTTTTCATGAACTATGTACCAAACTTTTAATAAAGCTTACTGTCATTAATTTGTACTGTTACAAATCTATTTTCTAAACTAAAACCATAGTTATCATCCTAGAAAACAAATGTAGTCATGTCACTTCCCCTATTTAAAGACCTCTAATCATTCCCCAGTGGCATTAGAATGAAATGTCAACCTATTCTTAAGAACGAATGGAGTTCTTCAAAATATCACCCAACCACCCCACTTCCATTGTGCATCCTAAGTGTTAGCCACACTGAATTTTCTATCATTACCCTCTTATACCTCAGACCCAGTGTCACCCTTCACCAGGGCTTTGCCTAGGCTATTTCCTCCCTAAACATTCACTCTTCATGTAATCTTGCCAAAGTATCTTGTTATTTGTGGCTTTTTTCCTCATTTACACTGATAATAGTTATAAATTTTGGGAATCCACACAGTATATGTCTTTAGTATAGTACTTAATCATTTCATTGTGGTAACTTATTTTTATTTTTTTCCCACAAAGTCAGGAAAGATAGCCATAACAGTAGAA